CAGCCCAGAGCGTGGACCTTAGGGACGCAGAGCAGACGCGGCGCCCATGCCCCCAGTGCACACACAGAACAGTAATAACAACATTGCGGAGCTAAAGGAAGCGAAGTCGGATCAGCAGCAGCCCAGGTTTCCCTCTGACACGAGTTCAGTACTTTTTGGGAAATGCAGAATATCAGTTTCTGGCAAGAAGGATTTCGCGTGTTTTGTTGGTGCCCTTCCATCCCCGCCCAGGGGGGTGGTGTCCAGGAAGTCGCTGCGAGCTCTAACCCTGCACCGCGGTGCTGTTTCTTCCTTTCTTTTCGCATTCATACACGTTTGCGATACACAAGGAACACATCACGGAGGATTTGTGCATGGATATAACACACCTCACTTCTATTTTTTTGCCTATTTCCCCTCCTTTCCCTGCAACCTTTCTCCCCGGAGCCACTTACAAAAGCTCTATTTCCACGTTTTTCTTCTTTTCCCTTTATTTTTTATCCTTATCAAATTTACTGGTACACTTTAGGTATACAGTACAATTACATTCATCACTGAGATCTCGCACCTTTACATGACTTGTCTTGGTTCTTATTTTTCCCCATTCCCCAGCCCTCCCTTCAGCTCCTCCACTTTTCCCAGTTTACAAAGACATTGTTTCCATGTTATTTTTCCTTTAAATCTCTTTTCCTTTCCTTCCCTCTCTGTTCCCCTACCTCTTGCTTCCCGTCCCATTTGAACAAGTTCTTCCTACTTCTTAATAGCTGTCTTCTATTTTGCTCATTATTTATTATTTATATTTGGGTTTCTCACACAAGGGGAACAATGCGATGATTAAACTCGTGTTTTATTTATTTCGCTCAGGTTATGGTCTCGCGGGGCATCCGTTTACCTGACAGCGTCTCCAGTTTCTCTTCCTCTGCTCTAGCCCGGTGCTCCGCTGGCCGGCATCACACTTAGGCTGGCCGTCCCCACCCCGCGCCCCGCACCATTCCGCGTGGTCGGGACCTGGCCCTGCAGAAGTGCTGAAGCCGCTCCTGGCTTCCCACGCGTTCGCCTCTCCTCAGAGGCAGAGCCCTGTCCCCGTCGTGTCTCCCGTGGAACCTTTGGTCCCCACACCTTCCTGTGACATCATGACATTTAATTAGTTATCATTTTGCTTGTTCTTAAAGAAACGCTGTTTGCACTCACTTGAAATCACTCCCTGAATGCCAGCTAGGCTCTTGACATTTATTTAGGAAACAGCATTTTGCAGAACTTTTATAGCATGAATGTGTGATGATTAGAGGGATTCAGGCCCTCTGTAAGTGCAGGCTCATTCTTGTGTCTCTGTCACACTGAAATTTCAGCTGTAATTTGGATTTACATTATGGACCGGGAAAGTGTTAGGATATTTTAAGGGCACCATCTAAATTTTTACCCTGCCTTGGAAAATTATGTATTTTCTCAAAAAAATTTTCCTTGAGAAGTGAATGCCTTTGTTACCAGCAGTTATTAAGCAGTACAGTTGTCATGGTGATGTCTACTTATTATTACAAGTAAACTTTTCCATGTCTATCTCCTGGGTGCATGGATATCCAAGAAGGGGTGATGGCCAGACCTCTGCATCGGTATTTCCTTTGTTAAAAAGACGCATTCAGGTCATTAAACTCTACGCATAATATTCAGGATCCCTGCTTTATAAAAGGCCAGCTTTGCGGCAGAAAGACTGGCCCCTCCTCGCGGCCCCTGACGACTGAAGGTTGTTAAGAGCGCCTTCACAGAATAAAAACAGATGGGACTCTAGGTGGACTCTTAGGGGACTCAGGGCTTGAGTCTTGAAGATTGCCTTTTGGCTCCAAGTTGTCCAGTCCCATTTTTGTGGTCTCCTCTGGTACAGTAAGGATGATGAAGACACCAAGGCCTGTGGAAAGACCAGGCTTCTGGAGGGGCTCAGAATTCAGCCATAGGTAGAGAGCAATGGTGCCACGATACAGGTGGCCAAAATGCACCCGGGATTTAAACTTTCTCAGCGTAGAGGCCTGTCCTCGAAGTCTGTCTGGGACAGCTACCGATTTCTGGCCTTGGAAACATCTTAGTGAGGGCTGTTGGAATATTCTCTCCTGCGTACAATTTGCTCTTCTCAACTGAGTTCCTGATTCTTTCATTTTGTCTGAACTAACGGGCTGGTTTTTGTCATCTTGGAGCAGAATATTTTTTAGCAAACATACTGAGCATCTCCCACTCTGTTTCAAGCTCTACAGCAAGTGAGGCATGCTTTCTATCTCCTAAGGTCTACAGATGATGTGTATCCATTAATATTGGGAAAATACTGTATGGATACAGTAAAATGCACCTTCACCCAGAAACTTTAAATATATTTTAAAAGTTTATTTTGGAAACATTTGCTGGTGGGCTAGTCAAGAAGGTGATTACATTTGAACCAGACTACATCAGGGTTAAATCTTGGCTTTGCCATGAATGGGTGAACTCAAGCAAGTTGTTTAGCCTCCCCATGCTTGAGGTTCCTTGTCTTTAAATTGGAAAATTTAAAGCTCAAATTTTTTGGGAGACCCAAAGTAATGTTCTCAAGGCATCAATAACACCATTGTCAACATCCCAGAGGTCTGGCAAGAGATCTATGATGTGATTGCTGACCTGCAGGGGCGAGGCGAGGGCTGAGCCCAGGGAGCAAGAATTCAACACTGGACACCTGGACTTTAGTCTTGGTCCTGCTATTCCTTCACTTTGTAAATGTGGTTGCCTAAATGAATCAATGTAAGGATTAAGTTAAGCCATATAATATGATTAGCCTGATGCTCGACAGGTAGAAAATATTAAATGAAACTTTTTCAGCATAATTTTAAACAATTTTGTTATTATACAGTGTTCACTTTTACATTTTTTCCTGCAGTAAAATATATGTAACATGCAGTGTGCCCTTTCGCCCTTTTAGGTCCACAGTCCAGAGACATAAGTGCATTTGCACCCCATGCAGCCATTCTACCATCCACCCCCAACCTGTTCATTGCCTCAAACTCTGTCCCCATCAGGAGTGGCCCCCAGGTCCCTTTAGCCCTGTTGGTGACGACTTTCTGTCTGAAGAGTTTACCTGTCCTGGTGCTTGTGTAAGTGGAATTGCACACTGTTTGCCCCTTTGTGTCCAGTTCGTTTCACTTGGCACATTTCCAAGATGCATCACTTTTGCAGCATGTGTCAACATTTCAGTCCTTTTTATGGTGAGTAAAATTTTCTTGTGCAAATATTCCATATTTTGTTTATTTAGTGATCTGTGGATGGACATTTAGTTGTTTCCACCTATTGGCTGTCATGAATTATACGCTCTGAACAACGGTGTATCCTGTGCTTGTGGAAATTAGCATCAGAGAGAATAGGGGAGAGGTAGTGGATGTTTAGAAAAGGGCAAAGCAAGGGCTCTGCGAGGAAGAGTTAGGGCCTTTGAAGGCTCCCAAGTAGAGGCGGCTCTGAGCTCATTGATGTGATGCATGCAGAACACAGCCAGACTCCGGTTTAGGGCAGCGTGTCATTGCACACGGGGCTGAGGGAGCACCCATGGGCACCAAGGCAGTGTGACGGAGATCACACTGGCAAGGGTGGCCACCGCCCAACTTCGCAGTCCCTCTGAGAACCTTACTGACATGCTCTGGACCCTGCTCTCGGCCGGGACATTGCACTGCATCTCCCACTGCCTTCTCCACCTAGCAGATGAAGAAAATGAGCAGCCTGGGGACACAGAGCGTCTCAGTCCAGCTCTGATTCCTGCTGAGGCTCGAGTTCACACACAACGAGCTCATGCCAGTGTCCCGAATGGGACACCGCCTGTCTCACATTCAGCACCGACTTCCGCATTGTTGTCTCTGTGGCTAAATACACACCTGTCCTCTTCCTACCTCCACCTCCCTGCTGTGATAATCAGAAAGTATCTGTGACAATCAAATAGTCAGGATACACAGCGTGATGTGGCACCTGTGAGGCAGCCCTGCACCTTCTGTCTCCTGGGTGGCTTCCCTTAAGCCCAGTGGGAGAGGCATGGTAAGTCTACGCCTGACATAGCACAGGCTTTCTCCCTCATTATGGTGTTACAATAAGGCAAAAAGCCATCTCTGGAGATGCAGTATGCAAAATTTCCTTTCTATCAAATGACCTTGATGGCAGCTATTGGAATAGGATTAAAGCCATGTTCAAATATGGCAATAGATGTAAATCTGTTTTGAACACTGGAAAATATATTATATATGTAAGAAATTATTATTTTTATTATAACTGGATATTTTACATTTAACATGACGAACTTGAAAGCAGTTTTCATCAAAAAGCTGTTGGTGTGCCCCGCTAAACACTAAATTAAATGAAATGTTTAGCTTTTTCTTTTAGGATGCTTACAAAGGTAATAAATTGGCATATTTGCTATGGGTTGAAGAGGTGAAACAGACTTGATTTTCTCAAATTCAATAATGTGTTAGCTTCCCCTGTGATAAAACCCCTGTGATCACTGATTTAAACAGAGGACCCTCTATTCTGCTCACTGTGGGAAGCTTCAGTCCATGATCAGTTGGCTGTGCAGCTCTGGGCCTATGGCAAGGCAGCACCACACAGTGGGGTGTGCACACAACCAGAAAGGATAGCATGGGCCCACTATCCCCTCTAGGGACACACTCTGTTGGCCACTAGGTCCCACCTCGTCATGGTTCCACCACTTCCCAGGAGCACCACCCATGGGGACCAAGCCTTTAAGGCATGGGCTCTGGGGACATGTATCCAAACCATGCACACTGTTGCTAATGGTTTTGCTGTGAGAGATTGTTCTGTGCATTGTGGATTGTGACTAAATACATACCTGTCCTCTTCCTACCTCTACCTCCCTGCTTTGATAACAAAAAAGTGTCTCAAAATTCCACTGGTCCCTGGGAGTCAAAACTGCCCCAGACTGAGAACCACTGCTTTGGACAATAAAATAGGAAAGGCTGATGTGTCAGCCCAAATGACAGGAAATCCTATATTATTTTAGATTTTCCAGTGTTGTTTCTATAGAGTGAGGATATTTTCATCTTTAATCTTGCAAAACCAAGGAATGGAGTCAAGGGCTCCCTAAAATCACAAGGAAGCACTCGGCTGGCTGCTGAGGCTTCAGGAGGGTTAGCCATGCTCGACTACATTAGCCTTGGGGTTTCGTCAGCACAGGGATCCAGAAACGAACAAAGTAAAACCCAACACGGTTGGGGTTTGATTCCTCTATTTTAAGTGTTTTGTAATTTTAGCATTAAAAGACAAGGCAAATGTCTAACATTGCCCACACACAATTCAACATCACACATACACACACACACACACACACACACACACACTCTAAAGCACCCAACTTCTAGAAGTTTTGCCTTCTAGATAAAGCAGTGAAAGTTCAGAGCAAACAAACCTGCAGAACAAGAATTTCTTTTCTCTTTTCTTTTGGTACAGAATACCACCAAGTTCTTGAAGTCAGAAAAGAACTATCCAAGTAATTTGCTGTTGCTACCTATTAAAGATACCCAAATCCTCAGAGATTATCAATTTCTGAGGTATATGAAATGTAAGATGTGTGTCATACCTGGCACTTCTGTTACCCTTCCCCTGACATGTCACTGAGAACTCTGAAGTTTAATTAAAGCCTTCAAAGTTAGAGGGAGCAACAAAGCCAGGAAGACAGAAAATGACAGACTAGGAAGACAACATGGGGATTTTAAGATTCCCTCTCTTGAGTTATTTTTATCCCTCTGGCCTAAATTCTCTGTGCTCTTTCCTCTCCCCTATCTGCTTCCTTTAGCTTCATACTGAGGATTCTGTCTAACACAGTTTGTCTCAAAATAGATGCTCAATAAATATCAGTGCAAGAAAGACACAAAGCACAGATATTAAGGGAAAGAAAGCTATTTTCCAATGAAGATGTTACTTGCCTTGTAAGAACGCGACACTGACTGTTTAAAAGGAGAATCCTGATGGGTATCACGTGATCTTCGGGGACGCAGATCTCAAAGGTGTCCCTGAGCTTCTGCACCTTACAGGACCTCAGGGTTCCTAGTTTCTCCAAAATATGTAGTTCATCAACAAGAAATTCCACACACATCTTTGATGAACAGTGAAGTAGTAACATAAAATCAAAGGTTTGCCCAGTCGAGCTTGGAAAAAGTCTGTCGGTGATGGCACGTGCCCACAAACAAGGGGGCAGGAGCCCTGCTTAGCATGCAGAGAGCAGGTACCGCGCTCCTATCGTCCACAGTCGGTGTGCAGGGGCACAGAACAGCTAGGAGCGCTCTGGCCCTCTGCGTCCGCACTGCAGCCCCTGCAGAGGGAGTGGAAAGGAGGCGAGGCCATGAGCCTCCCGTGTCCAGGCCCCGCGCAGCCCAGGTGCTCTGGGGCCCGGGCACTGCACAGCAGTGGCCTCCTGGCGCCTCCCTGCCGCTCCCGCAGATGCTCAGTGGAGCTCATGCTTGACTGTAGCACCCCACGTTCCGAGTCAGTGTGGACAGAGGGCCACGTGAGCGCGCGCGCGCGCGCGCACACACACACACACGCGCACACACACACACACACGCGCACACACACGCACACACGCACACGCGCGTGCGCGCATCCTCTCCCGCCCCGCTACACTCTTGTTACTCCACATCCCCAGCGCCCACCACCGCACTCGCCTTCTCACCCCCTCCCTCAGACCGGACCGGGACGGAGCTGCCCTCAGGTCACCCCTCCAGTTGGGTCAGACCCCACGTGGCACCGCCGTCCCCCCGCAGCCACTCGTCCTTGTCCCCTCCTTCGCGGAGCCCTGGCCTGAGGCGCCTCACACAGCCCCCTGCCTGGACCTCCTCCTCCTCCTCAGTGCCTTCGCGGGTCTCTCCCCGGAGGGCTCCGCCTCGGGTCTGGCGGCCTCTGCCGTCTGCAGCTCTGGCTCAGGAGCTGCTGTGTTCTCGCCCGGTTCATCCCCTTCCCGCCCTGGAGACCGCACCTGACTTTCTGACGGCAGCAAACGAACCAGTGTGTGTTCTTGTAAAAGAGGCGCCATCTGGGCAGGGCGCATTTGCCTGAGAAGAGGCCAAATCCGCGTCCTTTGCCCAGTAATATGCACTCCTGTAGGCGTCCTTGTCTCCTCTGCTCTGCCCTTTTGCCCTCTCACCACCTTGGGATTGACAGGAATTCAGTTCTCCAGTGTGGTAAAACTGAGGAAACCCCCAGCCCGTCCTCTGCTTATGTTTCAGTCCCATTCTTTTGACCCCTCCGTATGTTAAGAGAAATCTAACCTTAATTCATTTATAGTGGGTGAAAACGATTTCATCTAATTGCCCTCATTTTGGGGAAAAATCAAACCTTTCTTTCACTGACACAGGACACCATATTTTGTGAACTTGAACTGAGAGAGGTCTGAATTCCACTGCAACCTCAAAAACCACAAAAATGGTAGAAATTCCGGAAGCCATAGCCCGGGGCTCACCCCAGGGCCTTGCGCCTATCATCCGGCCTGCTGTGGAGACTTGCGTTACCGGGCTCTGGCCTGCAGGGGCAGACGCGGAGGAACCAGGAGGCCTCTCAAGGAGCTCTTTCTGCCTCTTGAGTTTCTGAAGGAACCTGAACGGACAGCTGGGCCGGATTCCATCTGCGCAGACCCACACTGCTCCTCTGCACTGTGCTCAGTAAGGGGTGAAGGAAGTTCCGGGAGGGAGCCACACAGCAAGACGCAACTGGGCCAAGTGATTGCAGCTGCTTTGAAAGCAGCCAACCAGAATGCAGATCTCATTGTTCCTTTTTATTTATTGTTTGTTTTGTGAAAAACTTTTACATGATTTATGGATCTGTATGCTTTTGTTCAGAGCTAAGAGA